CATGTGTCAGTTTGAAATAACTTTTCCTATAATTTTTCGTTCTTTGAAAAATATGCTAGTCCTTTTTTCTGAAGAAAAACATGTGTTTAGTTCCTTATAGAGGGAAATATCCATTGGTACATTAAATGCTTGAATTAAATATGTTTCACCAAAGGAAAGGAACGATGCATGTGTCAGTTTGAAACAACTTTTCCTACAATTTTTCATTCTTTGCTGGATACGATCCTTTTTTTTAATGAAAAAACATGTCTTTAATTAGTTCCTTTAATGAATTGTGAGTACCGAAGAAATTTTATCAATTTGATCTGTTAAGGAATTATGTGAACAAAAGTGATTCTATTATCAGACATTACAATTGAAGTGCGTCATTTGTGAGACTTAATGTCAAGATAACTTAACATCTTAATTAGATCGTCTTATAAACATTCATCTTAAAGAAAAATTTTCCATTGAAAAATGTCAATGTTGTTATCATTAAAACATGAAATCCTGATGAGTCTGAGATAGTCTTTTGAATTAACAAGGCCTGCGACCTAACCCATTTAATAGATAAGCTAAGTTTAAACTTGTATAAAATCCTATTTATTTAAAAAGGTTGGATTTAGGCTTATAAAAAAACTTGTTAAGTTTGATAGATCAGTCTATTTGTCTATATGATAATATATATACACACATAAACACAAACATTGTTAAAAATATAATTAAATAAATAAATTTGTAATACAAAAAATCAAATTATTAATATTTTTTACATTTTCACTACATTTAAACGTTTTAGATTCCTTATTTATGCGAAATCAAGAAATCAAAAATAGAAACTCTAGCAGTCGCATCTACACCTTCTATTTTCCTTCATCTTCATAATTGATTATTTAGAATATCAAATAAGATATAGAAAATATTTAAAAAACTTATATATTATATACATACATATATATATATATAATTATCTTCTTTCATTACAACATATACGTGAGTCCACTTTAGTGTACATGGATATGCATAAGTTGTCCCTTAGTTAGTTTTTTGTTTTTATTTAAAATTCTAAATTTTAATAATAATAGAATACACTCTTTTTTATCATGCAAATTAAAAAAAGACTCGCACGTGTATTTAAAAATATAATTTTTGACATATTTAAAATTAAATCTATTGATCTATTTAACAGTTGTTAATGCAAAATAGGGTTTTAAATAGGTTAATAAGTCAAGTTAGGCTTTTAAAAAATACAAGTCATACCTATGAAAAAAAGACTATAATAGATAATAGACTATGATTAAGCTTTAATTTTATAGAACAAGTCTGATACGTATATATAAAATATGGCCTGAGATGACCTATTTATATCCTTACTTAAAATCAAGTTTCATTCCCATTTTAGTCAATGATAGTCATATACACAAGATTTCATACCACAAAGACGTTTAAGGCGGGGCAACCTCTTTGCGCCTTTTTCTATTTAATGTTGTAGCATAACATTTATCTAGATTGATGAGGTTGACGACTTCAAAGAAAACCTATGAAGGATTCTTGGTGGGAAAAAAGGAAGTTAATGTACTTCTATATGCAAATTATATTTCTTATCTTTTCTTTTTGTGCAGCCAACCTTAGTAACATTATTGTTATTAAGAGAATGTTCAGGAGCTTTGAACTGAGATTGGGTTTGAAGGTGAATTTTATAAAGAGTAAGTCAGAGAATTAGGGATGGAGCCAGAAATATCTTTGAGATTTATGCATTATCGCTTAATTGCAAATTACTCTATCTTCCATTTTGTACCTCAATCTTGGGGCTAGGCATGACAATCTAACCCGCCTCCTTGGGTACCGCCCCGATTTGGACGAGGAAAACCCGTGTTTATCGGGTTTGAGTTTGGGTTCGGGTTTTTCCCGATTGATAAAATCGGGGACAGGGACGAGAATGTTAATCCCCGCCTCGCCCCCGCCCCTGCCCCCGCCCCTGTCCCCGTACCCGCCCTTGCCCCTGCCCCCACCCCCGCCCTGCTTAATAATTTAATTAAAAAATTATTTTATATATTATAAACCAAAATTAAAAATATTTATATGTAAAAATTTGTATTATTTTTTTTTTTAAATTTGTTCATATTTATTTAAAGAAAAAAAGAAATAAAAAAGGTAGGAGCAGGGGCAGGGGTGGGGCGGGGAAACCCGAACCTCGCCGGGGACAGGGATGGGTACCCAAATTTTACCCTCGGCAAGTATCGATCGGGGGTGGGGATGGGGGCAGTTTAAATTTGTAGGGCGGGGGAGGGGAACGTAAAAGCCGCCCCCGCCATGCCCCGTTGCCATGCCTACTTGGGGCCAACCCGAAAAGTGAAGTGACTTGGGAGCCAGTTTTAAGGAAATTTTTTTAAAAAAATTATCTGTTTGAAAGCACAAATTTTATCCATAGTTAGTAGAGTTTGTCTCATCATTTTGATATTAACATCTTTACCCTTGTTTTTTTTTATCATTTTCCAAAATACCCTAAATTAATGGTAAAGAAGATTGTGACTCTTCAAAGAAGGTTCTTGTGGGGTTATGAAGATGGTAAAAAAAAGATCTCTTGGGTTAGTTAGGAGAAGATTTGCAAGCCTAGAAATTGTGGTGGTTTGGGAACCAAAGATATTTCCACCTTCAATGATGTTTTTTTTTCTCTAAATGGAGGTGGAATTTATCTCAACAAAAGAAAAGTTTATGGTGAAGAGTGTTGGACACTAAGTCTAAGGGGTGACATATCCTTATTAGTGAAGACAATTATGGATATTCTTTTATCTAGTGGAGAGATAAAAAAAAAGGTTTATAGGGGAGAGAGTGTTTAGTGTGAATGATGTACTTATATATTGATTATTAATAATTGTATGTTTATGTTTTGCTTATGGCTGCTTGGCCTTGTCTCACACTGAGAACATGAAAAAGATCTATCTTACTCCCTCATTTAATGTTGTTTTGTTTTCATTTTGGCAGAATGCCATTTGCATGTGACGATCACCAAAAGGTTGGTGTTGATAAGGCTTAGGCCTTATGATGTTATGTTGGGATGTGTCTGACGATATGACATTCAAATGTTAATTTATACTTTGTTATTGCATTAGATTTATGTACCTTTTGTTAGCAATCGTTGTCAGTTTCTTTTGAGATTTGTAATGGTCTTTAGAAAAATACCTTTATTTTTAGTTGATTTGTTATTTATGTTAAATAACTTTTGAGAACTTCATTTTTTTATCGTGTGAAACAAATATGAGTCCTCTATCCTTGAGGCATTTGACTTATGATAAGTGTCAATTTTACTTAAATGACTTAACTCTTTTGACACTTATCTAACTAGTTTTGAAAGAAATTTATGTTTTACCCCTAAACTATTACAAAATTTAAAAGAGTTGTGTAAATTAGTTAGTTTATAAAGAGTTGGTGGAATTTTACTTAAACTCTTGTTTTATATATCGTAGGATTCAATGAAGATCCAAAGTCTAAGAAAAATCTAATCCAGTTAAGTGTTTGGAAAAGGGTTGGGTCCTTTTGAAAAAGGCTGAGCCATTTCAAAAGGGCTGAGCCCTTTAGAGGCAGAGAGCAAGATTTGAAACAAAGGTTAAAGTGCTTAGCCATTTTGAAAGGGCTGGGCGAATTGGCTCTAGATGGGTGCAAATTTTTGGTTTCCCAGGGGCTTAACAAATTCAAAAAGGATCAACCATTAAAGTTGTTTCACCATGAAGAATTCTCCAAACTGCTCAACCGTTTGGAAAAGGTTGAGCAGTTTACACTCACTCCTCCATACTCTATTTTATTTTGTTGTACATATATAAGGATTTGGGAGGAGAAAAACATGGAGAGAACCATCGAGACTTGTGCAAAAAATAGGCAGCAAGCAAAGAGTCTAAGAATCAGCTGGGAACAAGGGTTCTATGATCTTTCTTTCTCCTACACCTTCTCCATGTATTTTGGATTATCTTTCATCACTATGAGTGGCTAACTTTTCTTTTTGTTGGGGTTGAAAAATCTATCAAACTCTCATGTATTCCTTTTGATATATATATATATATATAT